TCTGACAAATGGCCATCCAATCTCTTCTTGAAAGTCTCAAGTGATGATGCTTCCACAACTTCCGAAGGCAACTTCTGTTCCATGGGTTGATTGTTCTTACTGTCAGAAAATTTCTCCTTATTTACAGGTTGAATCTCTCCCTGTTCAGTTTCCATCCATTGTTCCTTGTCTGGTCTTCGGGTGCTTTAGAAAATAGCTTGACCCCTTCCTCCCTGTGGCAGCCCCTCAAATATTGGAAGACTGCTATCATGTCTCCCCTGGTCCTTCTCTTCATTAGACTAGCCAAGCCCAGTTCCTGAAACCGTTCGTTGTATGTTTTAGCCTCCGGTCCCCTAATCATCCTGGTTGCTCTTCTCTGCACTTTTTCTAGAGTCTCAACATCTTTTTTATAATGTGGTGAACAAAACTGGATGCAGTACTCTAGGTCTGGTCTTACTAAGGCTTTATAGAGTGGTATTAGTACCTCACTTGATCTAGATTGTATCCCTCTGTTAATGCAACTTAGGAGATCTGTTTGGGATTGTTAACAATTGGAAGCAAATAGTGTTGAATGAAGTCCTAGGAAGAATAGTTCAAGGACCTGGGAAGGATGAATCTGGAGAAAATTACAGGTAGTCATCCATTTACAACCATATATTTAGTAACTGAAGTTACAACAGCACTAACAAAAGTGAGATGCAGCCTGTCCTCAAACTAAGGACCGATGCAACATCCTGACAGTTGTATGACCAAAATTCAGGCACTTGGCAACCAGTATGTTTTTGCAATTGTTGCAGGATCCCAGGGAGATGGCATTGGCATTTGCAACCTTCCCAGCTGTCTTCTGTCAAGCAAAGTCCACAGAGGAAGCTGGATTCACTTAATGACATGATTCACATAACAACTGCCATGATTTGCGCTTCACAACCATGACAAAAAGGGTCATAACATTGGGCATGGCTCCCTTAAAAATTGCCTTGCTTAGCAATGGAGGTTCTGGTTCCAATTATGGTTGAGGACTAGCTGTAAAGTTGAGGACTAGCTGTAAAGAGAGACTGGGGAGTTATTAAATATCCGAAGTTACACAGAAGATGCAGATGATTTGTCATCTGTTTATTCCAGGAGGCAGGACTGGACTTAACAGACAGAAAGTGTAGGGATCTTGATCACAACTGAACATTAGAAGAAATGTTTTTAGTGGCAGAAGATATTCAGCAACGGAATAGACTGCTTAGGGTTAGAGTTTGCTGAACACCACTCTCCCATGCACACTGACAAGGTTACCTCAATTAGTAATGAAACATCTTCAGGAAAACAACCAAGCTCAGTGAACACCAAGAACCCAACTGTTAACATAATTATCAATTTAATAATTTGTGTCATGTTAAAAATTACCATTCTATTTAAAAGGTGGGGGTTTGGGGGGGGGGTCACACACAAGGAGATGCAAGTGGCCCTGGGACCAATGTGTACCTCCACTGGTTGAGGCTAGGAAGGAAAACTATGTATGCGCCCAGGCAGCAGGACCTGCTCACCTGAACTCAGGTAGTGTTGACACTCACTCTGCCATTCCCTGCTCCATATTCAGATCAATCCCGCCATCGGCGAGGCTACCGCCCTCTGCAAAAGTAGGCTTTGCCATTGATCTCATGGATTGGTAACTGGCCCCGTAGACCATCAAGCTGAACACAAAGGCAACCTAAGAGAAGGATATGAAAATCAGCCAGGAAAAAACAGTAAAACCCTTCGGAGATACTCTTACTTCAGTAAAGTACACAAAGTTTGAGAAGTGCACAAAGGTTTGTATTTTTGGAAAGATAGACCTGAAGACAAACATATTTTGTAGCTAGTGCAATCTTTTTAACCAGGATTACTGGGCACAACTGGATACAAGCACTTCTTTTAAGGATTAAGACAGTTCTGATGGAAGCATGGTTTACTGATGGTTAAATATGCAGCCTCCCAAGTTTACAAACATGATACAGAATCTAAGCTGGAGGATTGGTGGGGGCAGAGGGATAGCTGTTGAATATGAATCTCATATTCTCCTAGCCAATATTTTAAACAGATCGATAAAGACTTCTTTCTTTGTAGAGAGGAGTGAAACAAAAAGAACACTCTTGAATCTATTTTTTTTTCTTCTCTTTGCAGCACACATTGACAGTCCCTGACTCAAAAGAAATAACGGCCTGAAAATATATAGAACTCACCCACGTCCAAATGGTGGCTGTTATATAGAAGATCCCAAGGTTGACAATTCCGTAAATGGCCTGAAAACAAGGGATATCCAAATAAGAGAGAAAGAGAAACAGAGGTTGAGCTCTTTGTTGAAAGCCATTTCTCAAATTAGGCACTTTCAAGATGTGTGGACTTCAATCTCCAAGGTCCCTTCCAACAGTGATGACGTACTATGTTCTAACTCCCAGAAATGCTAGCCAGGGGATTCTGGGAATTGAAAACCCCATATCTTCCAGTCGCCAAGGTTGACAAACGCTGGTCTAAAAAGTATTCTAAATCTAAACCTGTCAATCACCCAATCAAACTCAACTCCACTTTTTACCTTCAGAAATAGGACTTTATAGACTGGGACTTGAGCAACCACTGCTGCCACCAATGGGGGGAAAGTGACAGCTGCAGCTTTTAAGATTTTTTTTTTTTTTTTTTTAAGATTTAAGATTTACTTAACATTGCACCTCATACAACAAAATTAAATGCCATCTTCAGTGTACATCATACATGAGAAAACTATAAAAATAAAACAAAAACACACATCCTTCACATTCTATGCAATTGAATTGAAAACCCCTGATATTGCATTAGTATTGCACTATACAATAGAATCCAATATAGTTACTGCTCTGGGATAGAAGCTGTTTTTCAGCCTATTTCTCCTTGTTTTTATTATTCTGTACAGTCTGCCAGATGGTAATAGTTCAAAAGAAAAGGGTGCCCAGGATGAGATGGATCTTTGAGAATGTTTTGAACTTTCTTAAGGCAGCGGGAGCTCTAAAGCTCTTCCAAAGAGGGGAGAGGGCAACCAATGGTCCTCTGGGCAATGACATGAACCCTCTGGAATGCTGTCCTATCTGCTCCTAGGCAATTGGCAAACCATACACAGGGGCAGTAAGTTAAGATACTCTCTATGGTGCAGCTGCAGAAGATCACCAGCAGTTTTTCACTCACAGTTGTTGTTTCCTGAGAAGTCTCAGGTAGTATAATCTCTGCTGGGCCCCTTTGACCAGGGCTGCAATGTGAGCGACCCAGGCCAGGTCCTCTTTTGTGATGACACCAGTTATGATAACAACAGTTTTGATTGACTGCTCGAAATACACAGCCTCTATCAGAAGTGCAGATCTCCTAAGAGTTGGAGCTCCCGCCTCACAATGAGGAGGCTGCGAGTTCGAACCTAGACAGAAGAGGCTAATATTTGGAATAGACTCTCCTGTTCGAGCGGGGGGGGGGGGGGGGGGGGGGGGAGCTTGGACTAGATGACCTCCAAGGTCCCTTCTAATTATGTTGTTCTATGTTCCAAGATCTTCTTCCCTGAGCCAAAATAACCAGGCTGCCCTGGCTCGTCTCCCCACCCCCGTCCCACTCCCGAGATCCAGCGCCCCATACTCACATTCGCCCCTAGGATGATGCGCAGGTAGAACTTGAGCGTATCCTTGTTCTCTTCAAATATCTGCTTTTTGCCTTTGGTTCCTACCTTTCCTTTGGGCTGGGAGGGGGGGGGGAGGGGGATAAAAAGCCATATAATTTTTTTAAAAAAAAATTAAAAATGATCACCATCCCTCGATCTTGATTTAAATATCCCCCCGCTCCTCCCACCACCACCCCGGCTTGATCCAGCCCTCCCCCCTCCCCCATGCCCGACTCACCGCCATGACGACTCCCCGATCCAACCTACAGGGCACGCAGGCAAATCCACCACCAACTCAACCCAGCGGGACTTCCGGCGCGGCGCCATTGGCGTCACACACCAGCGCCGCGCCAAGGAACGCTTCTCTCTGGAATGCCTACAGTTCCCGACAAGCATCGCGCCATCGTCTTGGGGGAATCCTGGAACGCGGGGGAGGAGGAGCAAGAGCTGGTGGGCGGGGCGCGGGCGGGGCCGGCCGTTGGAGGCGGCTCCGCTTCTTTATCCATCTGTTGTCTTTTGCTCGTCTTATGACCTCCGGCCGGCGATGGACATCTGCAGGCTGCCCGTAGAGGTAAGGACGATCAAGGACGCGGATATGCTGCTCCGTGGAGTCCTCCCAGGTTTCCTGTGCTCCGCACTCGACCCGCGTGGATGCATCCAGACGTGTCTGCAAACGCATGTCAGCATCTCTGCTGGTATCTGTTTGTTTGTTTGTTTGTTTCGGGGTTGCTCCTTAAATGTCCTATTTCTCTTCCTCCGGGTTTTTGTGATTTTTCTTCTTTGATCTTAGCCGCGTGTATAATTTGCAGGTTCCTACATTTTGCATCCACTTAAGGAGAAACTTCCTCAAGGTTAAAGATGCGCCGGGGGGGGGGGGAGCGAGAAAGAGTCTACCTTGCAGGGGTGTCGTCTTCTCCATCGCGCCCGGATTTTAAGGAGAGACCGGGCAGCCACCGGGATGGCGGTGTTGCTGCCCGAAATTGGACTACTAGATGAGGCTTGGGATCTTTTTCCAGCTGCAGGATTTTATGACATTAAACTTGAGGAGCTGGGCTGCTGCAGAGATTTATGCCAAATTTATGCTAAAGGAGCAAGGAGAATTGTTTGCTGTCATGGCTGGAATGATTAGTCTGGATATTGCTTTGTAAAGCAATATTTTTTATTTTATTTTTAATGCTGGGGGAAAATTGCAGTGCAGAGTCCTGAAAGAGGAAAATGTGATTGTGCTGGACAAAATGCTTAGGAGATGATTACCTGCAGATGCTTTAAGATGCATCTGAAGCTGTCTAAATGAGGAACTGTGTACTTGATCTTTCTAGACTCTAATCTTGGGGCCACTCCGCTTCTTGCTTTTTTACCAGCAAGGAAGTCTTGTTTCTGAAAGAAAATAGCAAGGTTTAGAGGAAATTGTAAATATTGCAAACCCTCTTATGCAGAACCGACACAGGCCTGACGAGAGGTTTCTTGCCCTGGGCAACCTTTTTTTTTTTTTAAATTGCTGAGGAATAAAATAATTGATGTATTTACTGTACATCCTAACTGAAATGCATCAAGTTCAACAAGTGAGTAGGTTCACACAATTTGGTACACCAAAACCAAATAAATTGTGTTATATCCAGGGGATGGATTTTCAAATTTCCATGCTTAGAATGTTTGAAAAAAAAAATGTTCCGAGAACTCTTGATCAAGAGGCAAAATTTCATAATAGAAAATTGACTGCATTTTGTTGTTGTTGTTAGTCAGTCGCTTATGGAACTTCGTCACATTTTCACAGTTTCTTTGAGGAGGATTTGAAACCCTGGATTTGAGTAATACGTAAACCCAGATTCAGGGTTCAAGACACCCAATTCTTTTTCTTGATTCCCCCCCCCCCGCCCGCCTTTTCCCCTTTTCTGACAATCAGCCAGCAGTCACAAGACACAATGAAAACTCCTTAATTTCACAACACATGGATTCAGCCATCGTTTCACCTGGGAAACTGTGATGAGCATGCTAGATCAAGCTAAATCCAAAACCAGTAGTAATTCCTGGGAGCTTGTCATTCAGACAAATCAGCCATCAACACATAGAGACATATCACATTATATCACATTTATACACCATTCAAAAGAGATGATAAAAAAGTTAAGAAGGAAATGAAAAGATCAGAAGATCATCCTCTCCAGCAACCAATACCCTGATAAGCAGGGATTAAAACCCGACAAACAGCCAAGCAAAAAAAGAATACTCTGTTCAAAGAACAACCAAGGACAAAACCACATTCTCACCAACACTGGCAAGGCAAATATACGGTACATAAACAAGGAGCAAACCATACACTCACTAGCACTAGGTAATGATGTTACCTAATTGGGTAATGAAATGTTTGCAGGAAAACAAATTCAGAGAACACCATTCAACCCTGAGCTACTAATATTCACTTCCATTTTTGTTTTCTAGTTTCTTTGATCAGAGTGAAATTCTTCCAATTGTTATTATAATTTACATATAGATGTTTACTGCTGCTGGTTCGTTTATTCTGTTCTTGCATTGGAAACTCTTTTAAATGAAAGAATCCACCTGTTTGTACATGAAAATCGGCTTATGTTGTGTTTAAACAACAGGACAATTTTCACATTCAACAAGGAATAGGTAACTGGATTACCCAAATCATGGCATCAGGGTCAAGGAATGAGTGAAGATTGATAATCACATTAATGAAAGGAAAAAACAACAGTTTTTTTTCTAATAGTAGAGCTTATCACCACATTCCTCAGACAGATACACAGTTATCTGAAACTGGAATTCTAGTGGGTAATAAAATCCTATTCGGAAGGCATGGAGGTAATACACTGAATTAGTCCATCCAAAGCTGTCTGATGTTGCTGTAGGAACTTAATGTGAAAATAATCATTTTATCATAGCAAGGTTTGGTCACATCCTCTCCTCATGTGACTGAAACCGTTTTTAAAAAAGAAAACTGACCCCAATCCAGAGTTTCAGACATTTCCTAACATTATTTTGTATAACTCCCCTTGAGACAAACATGTCACTGTATGTACCTAATAAAAAAACCCACCCCTTTTTCAGTTTCCATTGAGATAACTTGTTCCCTTTTGAGCACAATTGCTTTTAAAAAGAAGTCCCTTTTTATTTTAAAACACACAGCTCTTCTAGGATAAAAGCCACTCCTTGAAAAAGTTGCTTCACAAAATGATTTTATAGAGCCTTTACAAAACACTGTTAAAGGTTATTTTTTATGATTTCTTTGCTCGAAGCTTCAGTGTTGGTTGCTTCATAAACCATTCATTTAAGACTAGATAGAAGATGGAATAACAGATAATTTAGTTGTTTCTATAATGAACAATATTAACAAACCTACTGACTGGTTTTTCTGCATGGTGCTAAAATTAACTGGAAATTGTCTGATTCAGGCATTTCCGGTTGCATGGGTCCAACAATTGGAGCTTGTAAACTGTGGCTTATAGCTTTCTTTAATCTTTTCTCAGAATACTTTTTGGTCTTGATGGTGACATCTTATCTAGATCAGAATAGGTTTTTGGCAAACCCCAACATGAGTAAACATAAAAACTCATCAACCTCAATGCAAAACGAGATATGGTTGTTGTTTTTCTTCAGATTAAACAAACAAGTACTGTAATTAAAATGTTTTCTTATGGCTAGTGGCAGCTGCTATCAGAATATTTGTTCACACACACAATGGCTTGTTGTTGTTCAGAGACAATTACAGTAAATCATTTACTATTTTATAGCTTTAATCACATCCGGCTCTTCATAAAGGTCAGCAGCCTGTGGCATTTTATTAGCAAATTAAACTGAACAAGTGGATAATAAGATTCGTAGAAGACTTCCTTCTTCTAAGCCACATGGTTTCCCATCATGTGAACATGTGAAATTAATTTCACTCTCGCTATATTAAGCCAAAGCAGAAGAAATCCGGATGTTTCCTTTTCCAACAGTTAGCATACTGTTCAGATAGTCAAAATGTAGATGCAAATTAGAGGCAGACTTTACATCAGAAACCACTGCCCTGGAATTTATAGCAATAAATATTCAAAATGCATGTATATCTTTGCTTGCTTCTGAAGACTTCTGTCCAATGATTCAGTTGAAGTAATTTTGTGTCATCCAGACCCAATGTATTCAATTTTCGCTCCATAGGATCACAATGCAAGGAAGCGTTATGTTTTTCCAATCCTTCCATTCATTAAATTCTCTTTATCTCCAAGTAGGTCACACCATAGAGCGTAACAAGCATCTCAACATCTTTAGATGACGTTTCCCATCAGATAAATTGACTCTCTTTTCAGTTTGAACAGCTAAGTTGGCCTCTGCTTTTTCATTTGTAGGTCATCGCTTACATCTTGAGCTTTCTACCTATTTCTGACAGAAAAGAGGCATCCCTGGTTAACCGAACCTGGTATTTTGCAGCCCAAGACTCTCTGCGACAGGTAAAACCTTTGTGGGCTTAAACACGCTCACCTACGCTTTCTATTCCTCCTGAAGGCAATCCTCTTTTAGAAAATCTCCTTTGTTTTAGGATTGGGCAATTTTTACAGATTTCGGAGCAACGTCTCAGCCTTCCAATTTGCCAGTGACCGTATGTTAATATGATTTGTTACAGTGGGGAAGATTGGCTTATTTTACAAGATTTTAAAGATGGCAATAAGAGCGTTTCACTTCCCAGGTCTTCTTTTCAAATTCCCCTCTTTAAAAGAAGGGGATCCCCAAAAAACCATCCCCCTTCCTCTATAAAATGTGTCTCCAAACATCAAAAAGATATTGGCAATCAATTTGGAAGTACACTATATCAAATTAGTCTCCTTGGGAATATAGATAGTTCTTGACTTAAAAAACCCACAGTTGGGACTGCAATTTTCCATTGCAAGTTGCTACAGTCGTAAAATGAGTCATCATATCACCAGACTCATTTTTACGCCCATTTTTATTATGCTTATCAAGTAAATCATCGTATGTGTTAAACAAATCTCACAATCGTTAAATGAATCATGGGGTTGTTACGCGAACCCGGCTTCCACAACTGACTTTGTAGAATGGAGTGGAGTGGAGTGGAGTGGAGTGGAGTGGAGTGGAGTGGAGTGGA